GAGAGAGAGAGAGAGAGAGAGAGAGAGAGAGAGAGAGAGAGAGAGAGAGAGAGAGAGAGAGAGAGAGAGAGAGAGAGAGAGAGAGAGAGAGACACACATTCACGTAATTAGTGGGCTTTAGTACGGCCGCCGAGGTTTATTTGCCGAACTCTCGAAAGTGAGTAATAGATACGGTATTTTTCATGTTCGCTCGTTTGCGCACATTGAGAGAGAGAGAGAGAGAGAGAGAGAGAGAGAGAGAGAGAGAGAGAGAGAGAGAGAGAGAGAGAGAGAGAGAGAGAGAGAGAGAGAGAGACACATACTCTGTCTGTCGCAATTTTTCTCTCTTTATCGGGCGATATATATAATTATATACTCGCCTTTTTCCGTTTCTTTCACTTGCTCACTTTCTTACTCCCCTACTAGCCGAAACTCCCCCCCACGAGGCACAAAATGTGAATTTACGCCTATAATACACGCGCACGCGTGCGTGCGACCATACCCGCGCGTGCGCGTCCATTAATGTGTGCGTGTATCTGTTTGTGTGATGGTAAAAACGCATATTAGAGCCGTATAATCATATTTTGTGCTTCGGGAGGTAAAAAAGTTGAAGCTGAAAACCAGCCATTTGCCTGAATAAAATTCACCGTGCTAACGAGGTCGTAGGCGATACTATTTGGGAGAGGGGGATCACTTATTCACGAGATAATATAACCTGCTAGGATATAGATTAAAGTACCCTATAAATAGATAGACATGTCAGATATAGATAGATAGACATAGATAGAATATCAGATATTGAATGAAAAGATATTGTTTTTTTCTTGGTTTTTCGTGATGGTTGATTCTATATGTACATTATTACTGCTAGGTACTCAGTACATGGTTCCCACAAAAACGTGAATTATTTATTCAAGGACATTTCAAGGTCAAAAATGTAAAATTCCAGGACATTAGACATAAAATAAGGACTTGGACCTATATTACCAAGGACTTTCAATGACAAAAGAACAAATTAAAGACTTTCAAGGACAAAGGACAGCATTCAAGGACTTTAAAGGGCCATGGGGACCCTGTTCCTACATAGAAGCTGAGGCTTGAGCAGTTTTACACCAATAAAATGGTAACAATTACAGCATACAGTGAAAACAAGTTTAATTTCTTAATCACATTATTTACAAGCAGAATGGTCAAGCTTTAAAATCACACCTATTTTGACCACTTACTAATATAAAATAACCAGGATAAAACATTAGCAATGCCAGCATTGACGTTAGTAAATAACTAGTATGCAGTCACATGAGACGGTATAGCGTTAAACGCACAATATGAAAGCACGCCATAATCTTGATTGTATACAATCTTACTTTGTCTCACTCAGTACTTCATATCAAAGCAATAAAATATCAATATACATTTCTTAATTTTAAACAGATATCATACTCAAGACCCAACTTTTAAAATGTAGCAATTTCCCAACCAGTTCTTTCATTTAATAATGTTATTAAACTGTTAAAGAAATCACATGCATTCTTTGTATTCTCTATTATTGAATGCCAATTTTGCTAGTTATATATTATATACATCATATATGTACCGACATATTTATTTATTTACATTTGAGTAAATTTTAAACTGCTAAATAAAATATTTAATATCACCCTGCGGCTCAATATCTGAGCAGTGAAAATGTTTGGAATGTCAAATTCATTTATTATAATCCGTCTAAATAATGCAGTTGACGTCACTGTAAAAATCCCACTTGATCCATCAGGATAATCATCAAACAATTGAAAGCCCAGAATATTTTCTCAACCAACAACGGATCGAGGCTCCCCCTTCCAACAACTAAACATCTACTTGTGTTGATGGTTCATGTATTATTTCCCCCTCCCCGACACAACACGACAGCTACTTGTGTTGCTAGTTCATGTATTCTTTCCTCCTTCCCGATGACACAACAGCTACTTGTGTTGCTAGTTCATGGATTCCTTTCCCCTCCCTCACAACAGCTACTTGTGTTGCTGGTTCATGTATTCCTTCCCCCTCCCTCACAGCAGCTACTTGTGTTGCTGGTTCATGAAGCTCCAGTCGCACTCCTCTGACCGCTCCTTATTCACCTGCAGCTGCACGAACATCTTCTCCAGCTCCGTGTGAGCTGTCTCGCTGCACGCCAGCGTCGTCGACACCTCCCTGGTTCCATGCGCGAAGAACGCATCCGGCGTCGCGCTCCCCGAATCCACGTCGGTTCTCAAATCCTCGATACCGCGCCGCTGCTTTCCCTGCGCAGAGCGCCCGCCCTGCACAGAGAGGTCGCCTTCGCTTCCCCGAGTCGCCGCGTCGGCGACTCCGTTCGACAGCCCGCCGGACGGTCGGGGAGCGGCGGCGGTAGAGATGCAGCGTGTGACGAGGTCCCAGATGTCGCGCTGCCGCTCGCGCTGGCGAGCGTCGAGGGTGCTGCAGGCGGCC